CCAGTAAAACATACATCCCACTTGAAACCACTTTTTCATATAATTTCATAAATCCCTGCAGGAACAAGGTACAATAAAACATATATTCAGAGAGGTCAGTTTAATACGAGTCACCTGATACCTTACACCCCTAGATAATGTCTACCAGAGAGCAGAAAGCGATATCTCTTTAACCGTCACAGCCAGATATGTCATATTTGATGTCTGGACGTTCAGAATATCATTCTGCATATTAACCTGCCAGTTGCTAGGCTGCTGTATGCACCTATGGAAATGTTATTGGCCATGGTATAAACGTGGGAGGGATTTGGTCATAGCCTGAGTCCCTGCCTAAACACCCCTCCCCAAATGAGGCGATTGGTTCTCTGCTTTAAGGAGACACCGTGCTGGGTTCCTAGAAAACAGGCTGTCATGCTTGGAGAGAGAAGATGAAGAGATTCTCCCTTTTAACATCAGGAACCAACTTCGGGAGAAAAGGTACCCTTTTGTTCAGAACACTTGAACTCTGCTTAAACCAGGACTTTTGCAAGTATTCTACCTTCCTAAACTTCTTTTTCTTTATCTCTTTGTTGTGTTATTGGTCTCTCTATTTATATATATATATATATATATATATATATATAATCCCCCCCAGTTTAATCTGTGCCCACTATAATTTCCCCCCCCTAGTTTAAGCTGTGCCCACTATAATTCCCCCCAGTTTAAGCTGTACCCACTATAACCCCCCCCCCAGTTTTAAATTGTGCCCACTATAATCCCTCCCCCACAGGTTAAACTGTGCCCACTATAATACCCCCCCAGTTTAAGATGTGCCCACTATAATTCCCCACCCCCAGGTTATGCTGTTCCCAATATAATTCCCCCCCCCCCCAGGTTAAGCTGTGCCCACTATAATCCCCCCCACTCAGGTTAAACTGTGCCAACTATAATTCTCCCCCCAGGTTAAGATGTGCCCATTATAATTATCCCCCCCAGGTTAAACTGTGCCAACTATAATTCTCCCCCCCATTAAGCTGTGCCCAATATAATCCCCCCCCCTCAGGTTACGCTGTGCCCAATATAATCTCCCCCCCAGGTTAAGCTGTGCCCACTATAATCCCTCCCCCACAGGATAAACTATGCCCACTATAAACCCCCCCCCCCCCAGTTTAAGCTGTGCCCAATATAATTCCTTCCCCCAGGTTAAGCTGTGCCCACTATAATTCTCCCCCCCCCCAGATTAAGCTGTGCTCACTATAATTCCCCCCCCCAGGTTAAACTGTGCCCACTATAATTCCCTCCCCCAGGTTAAACTGTGCCAACTATAATTCTCTCCCCCCCAGGTTAAACTGTGCCTGTAGCAATTGTGCATACAGAGATGGACGCGGTCACCCATCTTGCTAAGGATCCTCCATCTTGTATCTCTCTCTCTCCCTCCAAATCCCCCTCCATCTCTGTTGAGTGACAGGTGGACCCTGGATGCTGAGTTCAAAAAGGCATCAGGCTCAGCAGGAGAGCTCCAGGGCTATAAAATCCCAACCTAGCTGGTGCCAAGATGTCTGTTAGCTTCTCAATCTGGGATATCGTAAAGCCATAAAACCAAGTCCTTCACTGAGCTCAAAGACATTCCAGGTAGTCATAAACCAGACACATTCAACATCCATTTTCCCCTATGATTACATATCTTGGAATATGAAAGACTTACATAAAAACCAGGCATATATTCAGACCCATCACTTTAATACAAGTCGTCTGATATATTACACCCCCCCAGCTGACACAAACGGTAGAGGAGAAAATTATATCTCCTTAATCATCCCAGCAGGTATGTAATATTTCATATCTAGACATTCAGCAGATGATTCTGCGTATTAATCTACCCGTGGATAGAATGTTACAAGTACCTAGGAAAAGGTATTGACCATAGTATAAATTGTGAGGGATTTGGTCATAGCCTGAGCTCCCCGCCTACAACACCCTTCCCCAAATGAGGCGATTGGTTCTCTGCTTTAAGGAGACACCCTGCTGAGTTCCTAGAAAAAGGCTGTTATGCTTGGAGCTAAGCTAAGCTGAGTTGAGCTAAGTTGAAGATTCTCCCTTTTAACATCGGAACTAACTTTGGGAGATAAGGCACCCTTTTGGCTCAGGAAACTTGATCTGCTTACATCAGGACTTTTGGCAAGTACTTTATCTCTCTAAAATCCTTTCTGTTATCTCTTTGCTGTGTTATTGCTCTCTGTATATTTTATATATATATATTGGCTATATCTTTTTCTGTAAATATTTTTATTGCACCCTTTTGACCTTTTAGTAATAAATCTTACTTTCTGAAAGTGTTGCCTGTTTCTAAAGCTCGTTAATGCAAGCTAAGAACCCCTGTCTCTGTAGAGCGCCACTGTGTGTTTTAAACATCTGCATACATCTGTCTGCGGTGACAGTGTGTATAAAAACGATTATTCAAACATCATAGTGTTATTGCTAATATTGGCAAATTTCCTCTTTCTCTGCACAAAAAGGAGGTGGTGGCAGTGTGAAGGGTTAATTGCGTAATTAACCTGACCCAGTAACAATCGCTCTCAGGCTGCAAGTACACAGATTGTGGTTCATTAGCTGGAAAATCTTTGTGCAGGGTGCAGCTGGGTGTGGCATTGTTACGCACGTGACAGCGCAATTTTAAATTGGCTAGTCCTTCATTCACGAGTTTGGTGAGAAGGGCCGGGGTCTGACGCCGCGATCGTCACAGTGCCCACAATAATTCTCTCCCCCCCAGGTTAAACTGTGCCAACTATATTTCCCTTCCCCCAGGTTAAACTGTGCCAACTATAATTCTCCCCCCAGGTTACGCTGTGCCCAATATAATCCCCCCAGGTTAAAATGTGCCAACTATAATTCTCCCCCCCAGGTTAGGCTGTGCCCATTATAATCCCCCCAGGTTAAGCTGTGCCTACTTTGTTTCAATTCAAACAGATCCTGTGTGACAGGAGCCAGTGACCATCCAGTGACAGGGGCGACTGTAGTTCCTCAGAAGCTTCTCATTGAGAGACAATACAGAGGGAGAGAGAGAGAGGAACCTCACGCTGCCGGATAGGCAGCTACCACTGAGGATATTCAGACATGCTATCCCACGGCCCTAGCCCACCAGGCCTGGCCACAGCACCTGCATAATCTGAATACCAGAATAGGGACTGCATTTGCTAGGGTGCAGTCACTGTTCAACTGACACAGCTCAACATTCAGCCAATTCAGCAGAAATCAAATGAAATTTGAGCCGTGTAAAGCTGGCAATAGATGGATTGAAATCTTGTCAGTTCAGCAGGGTGTAGTAGGTGCAGTTTGCTCTCTTCACTGCAGGTGGTGCTTGACCGGAGCGGTACTGCAGTTGGAGAGGAAGTCAAGAGAAACTTGGTTTCTCTATGGTTTCCTTGGGCTCCTGGAGCACTGTTCCAGTTGGCTACACTGCATCCAGGTGACTCTGGTGGCTATTTTGGGTCAAACAGAGGCTTTTTAATTGCTTACCTCCAGGTTTTGGCAACCTTTTGCGAAGTGCCTAGTGTAGGGCTCTGTCTGCCAAGGACAGCACTAGCGGCAGGGAGATGTTTCAGAGGAGTAGGGAAAGAAAAGGGCCTGCGTCTTCTTTTCCACAAGCTCCTGCTTGGGTCGGACCGGCCACGCTGCACTGCACCTTCCTCGCCAGATGCTGTCTTCAGCTTGGGCCTACTATCACTACTCTCCGATGCATTGACTGCCAGTTTACCGGATGGGTGTTCTCCCTGTTAGGTGATTGTAGCTATTTTTCAAGTTTTTCAATATATTTTTTTCTCCATCCCAGGCCTCAGTGTCTTTACTGCCACGCAACATGCTGCACTCAGCATACAAGGGGCTGGCCTCATTTCAATCAATGTGTAAATACTTCTGCTCGACTGTAGTTGATATAACAATCGACTTTTTTCAAATGGACTTTCCTCAGTCAGCGTCTACAGTCGATGGGCTGAAGCTGCTGATCGGAGAGTTCCTGCTGTCAGAATTCAATGTCCCAGTGGGGAGAGTTCCACTACCCACCTCGACTGTGGATGGAGTCACTCGTTCATTTTTTTCATTCAGCCCACTGGATGAATGAAAGAAAACATTTGATCTATGGCCAGCTCTAGGCCAGCATTAGACCAGGGGCGGACTGACCATTTGGAAACTCGGGCACTGCCCGAGGGCCCGGCGTCGGTAGGGGGCCCCATGAGATGCCCCTGGTACCTTTTCCATAGGCTTTTTTGAGTTTGGGCAAGGACACAGGGGCCCCATGATCCTCTATTGCCCGGGGGCCCCATGAGTTGTCAGTCTGCCCCTGCATTAGACAGATGTCTCCAGAAAAGGTGTCCCCATTGGACAATTTCCTCTTACCCTTTGTTCTGGGGACAACTGAAATTTTAGATTTCTCCTCACTTTCTGTCACAACGACAATAGTCATCAGGTAGACACAGACCACAATAAAGACTTGATAGAGGGTCCAGCTCTTCCCCACACCATCCAAAGTAAGTAAAAACTATGGCCTAGAGCACAGGTGTCAAACTGGCAGCCCTCCAGCTGTTGCCAAACTAAAAATCCCATGAGACATTGCAAGAATGACAGATACAAGCATGACTCCCAAAAGTAGAGGCATGATGGGACTTGTAGTTTCGCAACAGCTAGAGGGCCACCAGTTTGACACCCCTGGCCTAGAGAGATACTTTAAATTTGCCTTTCCATGCAAATAGCCAACATGGCATTATTTCATAATTTCATCAACATTTTGGGGAAATGAAAACTCTTTATTTTGTTCATCCCTAACTGGGAAATGAAGCCAAGGCTGGTTTGGATGGTGGCCCTCTAAGGTCTGTGTGTACTTGTATGGGACTGTCTGTGGTACACTGTACATCATCTCTGACTCATTTCATAAGCAAATCCATCTAACACCGAGCAAAGCAACCAATGTATTTAAATATGTAAATTTCATCTGTTGAAAGTCATTGTTTTCTTTTTTTTGTACTTACATTCCTTTTAATATCTGCCATGTCATCCTCATCCAGCCTCATTGTAGTCATCTTGGCCTCCCCCTTAGGCCTTTCTTCGTGTGGCAGAGGGGCGAAGTGCAGTCAGGTGTTTGGGAAGGGAAAGCCGGAAGGGTAGAAACACGAAGATATAATGAATTATCTTCTCCGTGAATGAGCCTGCCTTCACCTTCAAACCGCACATTGGTTTCTAGTGTTTTCTACGGGACTTCCTGTCCCAAAAGGTGATCTGAACAAGAAAGTCCCGTCTGCGGGCTTCCTGTCAGTGAGGTTGTCACAGGCATTGTGCTCAGAGCTTCCTCATACTTCTGTCTGTGACGTGCTCGGGCACATTTCCTGAATTCCTTCAGTATGCAAACACAACATGGCTGCAGATTGCTAGCTAGTGGGTGATATCTCCAACATGTATCTATGAAACTGTGAGATAATGAAGGAAATTTAATGGATGCTCCTAGACAAATGTCAGGTAATTTGTCCAAACAAATTGCTAAAATCATTTAAAGTGTATGTAAAGTCAAAACTTTTTAACCACTTCAATACCGGGCAATGTTACTCCTTTTCTGCCTAGACCAGTGGTGGGCAACCTTTTTTTTCAACTGAGCCAAATCTCGCCAAAACCACGATTGAAATTTATTTTGAGAGCCACATTTTTAAAACTGAAAATACATAGGATAGTACACTGTTTTTAGTTTCAATAAGTTTTTATAGTAATTCATCCCCCATAGTAATTCATCCCCCATATAGTAATTCATCCCCCATAGTAATTCATCCCCCATATAGTAATTAATCCCCCATATAGTAATTCATCCCCCATATAGTAATTCATACCCCATAGTAATTCATCCCCCATAGTAATTCATCCCCCATATAGTAATTCATCCCCCATAGTAATTCATCCCCCATATAGTAATTCATCCCCCATAGTAATTCATCCCCCCTATAGTAATTCATCCCCCCATATAGTAATTCATCCCCCCTATAGTAATTCATCCCCCATATAGTAATTCATCCCCCCTATAGTAATTCATCCCCCATATTAATTCATCCCTCATATAGTAATTCATCCCTCATATAGTAATTCATCCCCCATAGTAATTCATCCCCCATAGTAATTCATCCCCCATATAGTAATTCATCCCCCATATAGTAATTCATCCCCCCTATAGTAATTCATCCCCCATATAGTAATTCATCCCCCATAGTAATTCATCCCCCATATAGTAGTAGTAAGTAAGTAGCAAGTAGTAAGCCAAGTCCCCCCTGTGTCACTTACCTTTGCTCCGCGCGTTCCTCTCGCCGTGTTCCCGCGGCGTTCCGATCTTCAGGGCGGACTGTGAGAGGAGCCTAGCTACTCTCAAGTTCGTCACGCTGCCCCGCCTACACACATCCTGACAGCCAATCACTGGCTATCAGGATGTGAGTGGCAGCGAGACTGGCCAATCATTGCATTTGAGCGCGCTGCCCTGGCTTTTTTTTTTTTTGGATCATGCTGCAGAGTCCCTGCCGCCCGAGAGGAGGGAGGGGAGCGGGCGCCCGGCACACAAGAGCTGCATTAAAGCATGTAAAGAGTCGCATGTGGCTCGCGAGCCGCGGCTTGCCGACCACTGGCCTAGACCAATCTTCAGCTTTCAGCGCTGTCACGCTTTAAAAGACAACTGCGCGCTCATGCAACATTGTACCCAAATGAAATTTTTAATAATTTTTTTCTCACACAAAGAGAGCTTTCTTTTAGTGCTATTCAATCAACACTGGGTTTTTTTATTTTTTGCTAAATAATTGAAAAAAGATAAAAAAAATTTGTGAAAAAAATGCATTGTTTCTGTTATAAAATTAAGAAATTCAATTCTTTCTTTACAATTTTTTTTTTCAACATACTGTCACCAATGCAGTACAGCATCATCATATAAATGGTGTGGCGGTGATCAGGAACACTGACAGGTGACAGTATTTATTTAATAATTAAAAAAAAAAAAAATTAAATTACATTTTTACTTTTTTTTCTTAATTTTTTACCCTTGTGACCAAGCAATACAGTGTTACCATAGTAACACTGAACTGCTCTTGGAAGTGATAAGAATTTTTTTCTTTTACACATTATTGCTTATACCAGTGAATTTCATGGGTATAAACAACCATTTTAACTGAATGAAACTGATTAATTTGGTATGTTTTTTTGTAATTAGCTGTGATTGGTCACAGCTAATCACATGGTACAGATGGGCTGCGATTGACCCTGTCTGTACCATGTGATTACTGTGACCAATCACAGCTAGCAAAACAATTGTAAGCAATGAATGGCATGAAAGATAGCCATTCGTTTTTTACAAATGTCATGTAATCTGTTGTGAATGGTCACAGTAATTACATGATACTGACAGCAGGCAGTGATCAGTCACCAGCTGGTGGACACAGCCAGTGACAGATTGCGATGCAGCACGGCTCCATGGCCTCACGCAAGGCTCATTTCAGGAAGACATCATATGACAACCATCCGGAAAGATGAAAGTCCCGTCCAGCCATCATATTACAATAGACCAGGCGGCAACTGCTTAAAAACAGTGTAGAATAGAGAATGGTAAAGTTTGGATAGAAGAGTAAGGCCTCATGGACACTGGACATTTTTTCAGCTGCTCCTAGGGGTGTCTGGCATTTTTTTTCTGCCTCTAAACGCCTCTCCATGTTAGCCTATGTGTTCATGCACACGTACACTGCTGTGAAAAAGTATTTGCCCCCTTCCTGATTTTTTTTTTCTTTTTGTATATTTGTCACACTTAAACAATTCAGATGACTAAACAAATTTTAATATTACACAAGAATAACCCGAGTAAATACAAAGTGAAGTTTTTAAACGATGATTTCATTTATTAAAGGAAAAAAAAAGCTGTTCAAACCTGCCTGGCCCTATGTGAAAAAGTAATTGCCCCCTAAACCTAATAACTGGTTGTGACACCCTTGGCAGCAACAACTGCAATCGAGTGTTTCAGATAACCGGCAGTGAGTCTTTCACATTGCTATGCAGGATGTTTGGCCCACTCGTATGTGCATAATTGGTTTAATTCAGCCACATTGGAGGGTTTTCAAGCATGAATGGCCTGTTTAAGGTCAAACCACAGCATCTCAATTGGATTTGAGTCCCAACTTTGACTAGCGCACTCCAAAACCTTAATTATTTTTTTTTTATCCATTCAGAGGTGGACTTGCTGTGTGTGTTTCGGATCATTGTCCTGCTGCATAACCCAAGTGCACTTGACATTCAGGTCACAAACTGATGGCCGGACATTCTCATTCAGGATTTTCTGGTAGAGTGCAGAATTCATGGTTCCATCAATTATGGCAAGTCGTCCAAGTCCTGAAGCTGCAAAGCAGCCCCAGACCATCACACGACCACCACCATGTTTGACTGTTGGTATGATGTTCAGCTTTACAAACAGCCCGGTGGGAAGCCACCCACCTGGGAACACTCACAGTTTTGTAACGGTAAAGTGAAACAGAGCAAATCTCAGATGTGCCAACAGCATCTGTCTTAGAGGGCAAAATGCTGCCTGGCCGGTCTGTACCCAAATTGGAGGATTCCAGGAAAGATGGAGTATCCCGACTCGTCTTGACTCTTTCCCTACCACTATTCACTTTCCCTGACAGATGGGTGACCTGTCCCTGCACTACCCAACTGGCAAAATGTGCGTCAAGCCTGGGAGCCATGGTCTTAAGTAGACTCCATCCAACCAGATCACTTCCCCAGTGACCCAAGAAACCATAGAGGAACATGTTCCTCCTGACTTCCTCTCCCTCTGCAATGCTGCTGGGTTGAGCCCCACCTGCAGTGGAGAAATAATAGATTGCACCTTCCTACATGGGTGTTATCACAATGTATGTATCTATTAGTGCTCTTCCTTCTTAATGGCACCACAATGCATTCAAACACCTGTGATTTAATGACCACAATGCATGGTAATGCACTATTGTGTGTTGTGATGTGCTGCATTTTATAAAAAAAAAAGTACATGGTTCTCTTCTGGTGTGTTTTCATGCTTTTATAAATCTCTCCAATGTGAGGGAATTGTCACCACAACTAGGGTCCCCATTGGAAGATTTCCACTCTATTCCTCTTTTGGAGCCAATCCAAACTTTGGGATTTTCTTTTACTTTCACTTTTGATTATAACATTAAACAAGAAAAATAGGGTGAATCTCCGTAACGGGACACAGACAGCAATACAAATCTGACAGGGATTCTAATCCTTCTCCACTCTATCCAAAATGTTAAAAAAAAAGGTTTGTCTTTAGGTGTTCTTTAACCACTTCCCGACCGCCCTATAGCAGAACTACTGCTACAGGGCGGCAGGGCTGTGCAAAATCACGTATATATTGGTGATTTTGCATTTCTGGGTAGGTGGGGGTGCGTGCTGCCCCACCTGCGCCGCCATTGGTGGCTACAGATTTCGATCACCAGACCCGGAGATTCCCTGCCGGCACCCATCGATCATTGAGTAACACTGACAGGGGAGAGACCTGTGTGTAAACAACACAGAGCTCTCTCCTGCCAGCAGTAACATGCTGCTGTGTATTTCTCTGCACAGCAGAGAAATACACAGCAGCATGTTTCCCTACTAAAACACACAAAGCACACAGTAAAACAGCACACAGTTAACCCTTTGATCGCCCCACATGTTAACCCCTTACTGCCCAGTGTCAGTACAGTGTCAGTGTTTTTTATTAGCACTGATCATTGTATTAGTGTCATTGGGATGACAGTGGGAGTTAGGGAGTTAATCAGTTCCCCCCCCAGTGTTAGAATGCCCGCCGCTATCCCGCTATAAGTCACTGATCGCTGCCATTACTAGTATAAAAAAAAAAATTCCAGTATATATAGCGCCGTTTGTAGATGCTATAACTTTCATGTAAACCAATTAATTTACACGTATTGGAATTTTTTTTTTTTTAGCAAAGACATGTAGAAGAATACATTTTGGCCTAAATATATGAAGAAATTAGATTTTTTTACTGGATATGTTTTATATCAAAAAGTCAAAAATA